ACTCAAAAGAGGGACAAAACAAATTATTGAGTGGGCAAGCAAGTTTTGACGATTTTTAATTATTTTTTGGCCTGACAGAATTACTTCAAAATTAAGAGGAAGATACCTTACGTTACAAAGAACTCACAAAAAAAGCTTCACAAAAAAATAACAATATTTAGGTGCCAAAATACTTATTTGCGGGGTCCGAATCCCTTCGGGTTTAGGTCCCATACGGGGACCCGAACGCCCGGACGTTTGGGGGTCAGCTTAGGGGCCTCTGCACGTTCGGCCTGACAACCCTGGATGAGAGTATGAGCAGTAAATCCCGAAACTTAATTGCAAAAGAGAGATTTCCCGTGAAAAATAAAAGTAATATTGAAGCAACGGCAAAGTTCGAAATTCCCCCCCCAAAAAAACGGAAATTGAATTTCCCAGTTACTACTTAATGCGCAATGCTGAATTAAAAAAAAAAACGAAAGAAAAAAAGGCGATTTTTCTGAAAATTTTCAGACTGCGTAAATTTGGATTTTACAGAAGATCAGATTGCGCAAAAAAAAATCCGAAGGAAAGAATTTTTTTCCCCGGATTTATCAAGTAGCGGACCGTCGAAATTTCACGAAAAAGAAAGAAATCGAACTTCAGCTACTAATAACGAAATTTCGAAAAGAAAAACGAAAGTTTCCATTGCTGCACAATTTCAGAATTTGCAAAATAACGAATTTGCGCAAAAGACAGAATGCCGAAAACAAAAAAAGAAAAATCGGATTTGGCAGTTAGGTTAAAAATCGCGAATTTGGGGACTAATTAGGGTAAACAAATCAACTACCCAATCAATCAATCAATCAATCTGTTATGATCCTGGCCAATTTTGAAATACACATTCATCAGAAAGTACAACGCCGTCCAATTGCAAAAAGAAATGAATGAGCGTGAGAGGAGAGGGAGGTTTAGAAGAAGAAGATGAAGAAAGAAAAAAGAAGAAGATGAAGAAAGAAAGAAGAAGAAGATGATATACACCAGCACAGGCAAATGATAATGCTCTTCTTCTTCACCAACTACTCTCCTCCTTCTTATCTCCTCTTCTCTTATTCACACAAGAAACAATAATAATAATGTTGAATGGCTGAACCAGAAGTTCGAATCTCTCTTCTACTGCAGGTATCACATGAGGTTCACCATAGCCATGGCCACCCTCCCTCCTCCTTCGTCCAAGGCCGAGGCTATGACGGACTACTAGGGCCCTGCCCTGATGTCCAAAGGACAACCCAAAGCAGCTATGGCTGCTCTAGCTCAGGCCGCCATGCCTGACTCTGCCTCGAAGCTTCTTGGTGTAGATCTACCCCAGCTGGGGTCTTCCTGCTGCAGCAACCACAAAACTGATGAAGATGGCTGCCACCATAGCCAGGTAAGTACCTCTGGCCATCCCCCTTCCTCCTGCTCTTCTTCTTCCTCCGTGTCCTTGCTCCTTCCCCAGCAGCGCTGCTCTTGCTGGCGCTGCTCCAGCCAGCGCTCCAACCAGTGTGTCGCCAAACTTGCACACGAACAATGAGGCTGGGCTCTTCGCCCAGCCTGGAGATATAGCGGCCTGCTTGCCTCTTGGGCGGTGACTTCCAGGCCGCTCGGCCTTCCAAGCAACCAGTACCTCCTCCCTTTCGGAAGGAAACATCATTGCATACTCTGATATTGCCCGTACAGGCCCTAGACTCAGACTGGTTGGACTGGTACCCACCTAGACCTTGCCTACAACTACTGGGTCTCTCAAAAGGCCACTTTTGTCTTCTTCTGCTCGGCCTCCAGTACCCACACATCTACCTCTTCAGGGTGCGGTACCGGCCTACCTGCTACTTGAGTGTTTACCCGCTGCTTCAAGTGTTGCGGGCCTCTTCCCCCATCACTTGAGTGTTTTCCCTCGCTGCAATCCTGAATGTCACGGCCACAGGTAAGTACCGGCCCTGAGGGCCCAATTCGTGTGTGTCCATCCTGTCTCTTATACACATCTAGATGTGTATAAGAGACAGGTGATATACCGGCCTAGGTCCAGGTACGGGACAACCTGGTACCGGACCAGGGTCAGGCCGACGGCCTGAAACTGGTCCGGCCTCACTGCCGAGCCGTAGGGGTACCGCTACAACGACGAACGGAAGCAGAAGACGGCCACCAAGGAGAATGGGGCAATGGGCAAATACACCCAGTGTTGGGATGCCCAATGGCTGCCCGGGGGAGGTCTGAGTAGTTCGAAAAACGAATTACTCAGACCTCCCCCCCAAAAAGTTTGTGGGCCTGCGTGCGGCGGCGCGGCCCGAAATTTGTTTTTCCCGCCAGACGAACAATTTTCCACAGGTACCCCTCCGGGCCTCCGACCCGCCCCCCCGAACTTTTCTTTTTTTGAGCCCCCGTTTGGCCAGTGCGCCGCATGCCGTGCACGCGGGGGCTGCGCGGTGCGCTCTGCGCCGCACGTGCCGCGATGCCTCGCACGGCATGTGCCGCAACTACGATAACAAAGAATAACAATGGAATTGCAAAATAAAATTTCGCATGTTCCGATAATTCCGGATTTGAAAAAATAATAATCCGGAAGAATTCAAATGAGAGCAGGGTTGTCGGCATTTGAGACGGGCCGAACGCCCGAACCCGAATGCCCGAACGCTCAGGACCCCCTCTGGACGCGCTCGGCCGTTCGGCCAAACGCGGACCCCCCCCCAAAAAAAACACAAAAAAACAACGAATTCTAGAAAATCTGAAAAAAACATATATTATGCATAAGAATAAACTGAACAACATTTGCCTGAACGTTACATCCAAATGTTTTACCAAATTTGAAATGAAAATCAAATACGTAAAATAAATAACAATAATGAAAATTAAAAAAAATAGAACGAAAATCAGGGTTGCCGGCGTTTAGGACGGGCCGAACGCCCGAACCCGAACGCCCGAACGTACGGGACCCCTTCGGAAGGCGTTCGGCCGTTCGGGCCGAACGCGGACCAAAAAAAAAA